TGGCCAAGTCCAGAAACACCGGGCTCCTGGCCAATCCCAGAAACACCGGGCTCCTGGCCAAACTCCTCGCTGTCGGAAGGCACCGAAGGCTGCACCAGAGGGGAAGGGCCGGGAGAGGGAGACCTAGCCATCTCCTCTCCGTCATGTTCAGAGCCTTCCTCCTCTGATGAGAGGGACCCACCGGACGGAGCCACAACAGGCATTGCCTTCCTCCCCCCCTCCTTCCCAGCACGCTTGTTGAAATTGAAAACATGCTGCTTGGCGACGGCCTGCAGGAACCGTACTGATGGTGTGCGAAGAGCGAGGCCCCGCCCTCCCCAGGGACTCGTGCAGGATCCATGTCACCCTTCCCCCCCCTCTTCGTACTTCAGAAGCAAGCACGAGCCTGAAGGGGACAGAGCCATCCACTCGCAGGTAGGTGTTTGAGACCGCTTGCATTGTGGCCCTGAGCGCCAACCTCACAACCACCCCCTTCTTTTCCCCTTTCTCTCTTTCTCTGTTGCGGCCTCACTCTTCCATTTTCTTTTCCTCTCCCCCCCTCCCGCGAGCTTGCAATACCCCTCACGGCCCTCACGTTGCCTCCCGGGGCTTAAGTCTTTTCCCCCTCTCCTCTTCCCGAGGTGCCCAGCTTTACGGAGGGGAAAGCAAAGTGGCCAGACAGCACGCGCCCTCCCGGAGGACTCATCCCACAGCAGCAGGTGGGAATCGAGGCCCACGTTTATTTTGCTGATGCTGATCAGAACGGTGATTCGGGGGCTGGGGGGGGCTGCTCCCTTGCTCCAGGCTCGCTGAGCTCAGCTCTCCGCTCCCCACTCCCGATACTGATCGAACTGGCCACAATGGTGCCACACACTCAGTAGCCACCGCTCAAGCGCCACCCCCTACCCGGCACTCATTGGCCACTACGCGCTGTCTGTCGGGTGCAGCACAGTCTCATCGGGCCGCAGCAGCGGATCAAGGCGATCACTGGTGCCTCATTGGCTCAGGCCGCCTGCCCGTGATAGGCATCTGATGGTGACTCGGGGGACAACCGTGGGAGGGGGCTGCTCCCTTGCTCCGGGATCGCTGATCTCCGCTCCCGATACTGATCGAACATTCCAACGCCCGCATGCTGGGAAACCGATCCAGGGACCGCAGCAGAAGCCGTAAGCTGTGGAAATCCCTGCCGCCACCGCCGGAGCCGGCTCCAACGGAGTGCCAGCCAGCTGCTTCAACCAGGCATGGCGGCCTCTTCGGGATGCCCTGCCCATCGGTGACATTGCCGCGCCGCGTTCCATGATGCCAGGGAATCCCCGCAGCCGCCGGGCACAATGGAGCGCCAGCTGGGTGCTCTAACCAGGTGCCGGAAGGCCGTCCTGCGGTGCACCGGAGTCCCGCACGCCGCCCGGTAGGCTGCTGTCAGCTGTTCCTCCTGCATGGCGTTTCCAGCGACCAGCTGCATGCTTCGGCGGCCGGCTATGTGGGTCCCCCCCATTGTAGGAATGTCGAGCCCACGGGGCTTGACAGCCACAATGGTGCCGCACAGTAGCCACCCCTCAAGCGCCACCTCCCCATCCGGCACTCATTGGCCACTACATGCTGCCTGTTGGGTGCAATGCAGTCTCATCAGGCCGCGGCAGCGGCTTGAGGCAATTGCTGGAGCCTCGACTCAGGCCGGCCACGCATCAGAATCTATGTCCCACAATTGGTTGGCTCCCTCATCATGTCCCTCCCCCACAGAAAGGCATGGCTCTTCATGCAGGCCTGCCCCCTCGCGGGACTCCTTATTGGCCCTGCACCCGGGCGCCCCACCCCTGAGAAATGCGGCCAGGAAGTCCCTTTCCCGGGGAGCCGCGCAATCCCAGCGCTACCATAGGCCCCGCTGGCCAGGAAGGCGCGTCGGAATCCCGGCTGCCGGTAAGGCGATCGGCCCGCTCCTCTCCCATCGCCTGCTCTGCCCGGCTCGAGCCTGGCTGGAGCAGCATTGGTACTTCCAAAGGTGGCCGCTTCAAGGTCACATGGGCAGCCCTCGGCCGCTCCCCTCCCCTCCGCACCTCCAAATCGATCCCCGGAGAGAGAGAGGGAGGGAGGAAGAGAGGGAGAGAAAGAGAGAGGGAGAGAAAAAGAGGGAGAAAGAGAGAGAAAGGGAGAGAGAGAAAGAGAGGGGGAGAGAGAAAGCGGGAGGGAGAAATAGAGAGAGAGAAAGGGAGAGAGCAAGAGAGAAATAGAGAGGGAGAGAGAGAAAGAGGGAGAGAGAAAGAGGGAGAGAAAAAGAGAGAGGGAGAGAAAGATTAAATTAGTAACATGGTTGTTAAGTGAATCTGGTTTCCCCACTAACTTTGCTAGTCAGAAGGTTGCAAAAGGTGATCACATGACCCTGGAACAATGCCCATCATAAATATGAATCGGTTGCCAAGCATCCGAATATAAATCACATGACCCTGGGGATGCTGCAACAGTCATAAGTGTGAAAAATGGTCATAAGTCACTTTTTTCAGTGCCGTTGTAACTTTGAACAGTCACTAAGCAAACTGTTGTAAGTCAAGGACTACCTGTATTTTATCACTTTTTTCCATTTTTTTTGGTTATCAAGTTTTTGACACCTTGCTAGGTGACTCATGGTACTTGAATGTTGCCATATTCTAAAAGTGGTACAATCAGTGAAAAGGTTGAAAAGCCCTGTCTTAGAGTTTGGATGGGGTATGTAGATTTAGGTCTTTGTCTACTTAATCTCCTAGCTCCCTGGATTTACATCTGCATCTCTATAGAGCTGGTTCCTGCTTGGGGAGGGAGGCCTGGGGCTATTAAGAAAACAGCATGCTTTCCTGCCTCTTCAAGATCCTTTGAGAAAATATATTTTTCTGCCCTTTTAATATTTCCTTCTCTGGGGGGCTGACTTCCCACATCACAAAGGTGTTTTTCTCAAGACAACTGGATTTTGTTTTTGCTTGAAGGCGTTTCGCTTCTCATCCAAGAAGCTGAGGACTGAAGAGGAAAGTCAAAGTCCAGTTGTCTTCAAAAATCACCTTTGGGGGTCTTTCACTGAGTTCCATCATAGTAATAAAGACAACAGGACATATAAAGGGGCCTGAAGGAATCCCCAAAGCATGAATTGATTGCATATTTAAAAAACGTAGTCCCTGTATGGCTGCCCTGGGCTCTTTTTATCAAGATTTGCAGCACCACCCATGTCTCGCCCGGCCCTCCCACCTGTCCCAGGAACACATCCACGTTTCCAAGAGGATTCCGGGAGAAAGAAACCCGAGCTGCCCAGAAGCAGCGGTCAAATCCGCTTTGTTCATTTCTGCCCTGCTCAATCACCACCGCACCCATCATTCTCAGCCCCTTATAGCCCTTCTCCGCACTCGGATCTCCCGCCACTCTGGACCAAACGTTCTGTCAGCAGCAGAACTGGGGCTTCCTTTCAGCGTTCAAACGGAACGGGGCACGCGAAGAGGACCTGTGCCGGCCCTTTTGAAGCAGAGGATAGGAAAGACGGTACTTGCTGTAGGAGACGCTCTAGGTGTAAATAGGGGAGCCCAATAGGGTTTTGCCTCTCAAAGAGGCAGCCATCTCTGACCCTGTTTCTGGCCGGGCAGTGGGGCTGGAAAGGTTTTGGCGGGAACGTCTTGAAGCTGCTCGTGTCCGCCTCAGAAACTCTGAGGAAGCGGAGTTCCGCCCCTTCTCGCCTCCCTGAAACCGGGAAAGGGGCGGGGCGAGGGGAGGGGCGGATCTGCCATGAGCGAGGGTAGCTTCTGAGGGAGCTTCTCCCGCTCGGACTTCGCCGAAGCGGGAGACTGAATGGCGGGAGCAGCAGCGTCCCCCGCTGCCCTTCAGGCGGGGAGCGGAGGCTGCGGGGGGGAACTCGGGGAAAGCGACGACAGCGGTCCGAGCGGCCTCCCCGAGGGGCCCCGCAATTCCGAGGCCGAGCGCCGGACCTTCCGCAGCTGCTGCCCCCGAGAGGCCGAGGGGCCCCGGGCGCTCTGCAGCCGCCTGCACCAGCTGTGCCGTGAGTGGCTGCGGCCCGAGCGGAGCGGCAAAGCCGAGATGGTGGACCGGGTGGTGCTGGAGCAGCTGCTGGCCCTCCTGCCCCCGGATCTGGCGGGCTGGCTGCGGGAGTGCGGGGCGGAGAGCTGCGCCCAGGCTGTGGCCCTGGCAGAGGGCTTCCTGCTCGGCCCGACCTCCACCCAGGAACTCGGGAAGGAGCGGCAGGTGAGAGAATGGCATCCTCTTGGGATGGTGTAATAGTCTGTGGGAATAACTTTGTGGGACATTATTCCCACATTCTAATTTCCCACATACTAATTTTCCACACACTAATTTTCCACATACTTTGTCATGGACTGGACAGCCGTAATGCAAAAGGTATCTCAATTCCCACATGTTGATGGGGGTGGAGGGGAGGGGAAATTCCATAAAATTCATAGTTTTCCAGCGAGTACAAGGAGAGGATCGGAAAAATGCTTTCAGAATTGCAAGATTTTCTTAATAAAGAGTTATATTCGGAACCTTGTGGTTCCCCAGCGCAGACTTTTCACTGCAGAAGGTTCTAAGCAGGCTTTCCATTGTAGATAGAATAGATTTGTGAGAAAAACAGTCCCTGAAGAAAAAAACAAAGCATACTTTATTCATGTTCCTTTAACTTGAGCATGGGGCTTCCTACCTGTGACTAGCAGAAGAGAGCCCTGAGCAAACCTACTTTTCGGATTAAAAACGTATTGTCCTTACCATTTGAAACAAATATAAGAGGAAGATAAAAAGACATAACACAATTATACAGCATTGTTTCCCTGGACTTTTTTTATAAGCTATTTAACTGAGCTTTATTTTGCTGTATAAACTTGTGTATCCTTCCGGATATTAACAACATATGCCATAAAATCAGTATTTATACTTTATGATTTCCTGTCACTTAAATCTACCAGAATACAGTCAAGCATCTAGCTTATGTGAACCTGTACAGGGCCATAACACTAGATACAGATTGTGAAGTATTTCACAAAAATGGCAGGCGATTATCAAGAAATAATGGCCATCCACAGAGCAGGAGTTCTCAAGTTCTCTTATATTGACTTGAGTTTGAAAAGTACAATTGGAGAGAAAAAGGTAAAGCAGCCAATTAACATAGTTAAAGTCATTTGAAAGTGGATCATAAATCAGGCTATTGTTCAGTTGCAGGAGCCACTCATGGAGATTTCAGCAGAGTTCCAGAGAAGAGGAGATCCATCCAATGATTCTGAAGATCTTTCTTTTAGGAGGATCCAACTGGGACCACCTTGCCAAGTAAGTTAAGGGTTTTTGTGAAAAGTTTAAACTCCTTCTATTCATGAGCTTCTTTGAAAACCAAATGCTGAGTCCCTGTTCACTTGAACCTGGTTTCCTCAGAATGACCCAGTTAGAAAATGTAATATATATGTTGGAACAGTTTAATCTTTCTTAGTGAATAATATTTACATGTAAGGGTGTAGGTCTATACATATGTTATATATAGTATGTTTAAATGTGTGTTATGTATCTGTACACTTTGAAAGCAAGCAGCTAAATTTCATTTTTAATGTGCGCCATTGTGCCAACAGTAAAAAAATTACAATAAATGTTATCTGTCTATCCCAGCGGTTCTCCACCTATGGGTCGCGACCCCATTTGGGGTCGATCGACCATTTCACGGGGGTTGCCAAGCAAGGCTGTCTGCCATTTTTCCCCCTTTTCCGGCGGGTGCCTTACCTCCCTTGGGCTGGGCCAGCTGGTGGTCGGCCTGCTCCGTCTCTGCCACTTGCCAGCTACGCCTCGGCCAGCGCAGGGGGCGGAACCACGCATGCGCGGCGCTCCCGGGCAGGGAAAGTCCTCAACTTACGACCAGTTGGGTAGTCCTCGACTTACGGCCGGTTTAGTCCTCGACTTACGACCGGTTTAGTCCTTGACTTACGACCGGTTGGGGGTCACGGCATTAAAAAGGTTGAGAACCACTGGTCTATCCATCTGTCTGTCTGTTTGTGTGTCTGTCTATGTATCTAAATATTTTTGAAAAAACTTTGGAAAAGCAGATAAAAAATAAAAACCATGAAGCAAAATAATACCAATTGTACAAAAAGTGCTTTAGAAATAGGCCAATATATCCACTTAAAATAAATTACAGGATAGAAAAATTTCTCATATAAAGACCCGTAAGTTAAAGCTGACAAGTTTTCATGGTAAGACTGTTGGTCAAGTGTCTTGATATTTCCAGAATCATGTACATTTTGAAATAGGCCAGGTAAAAAATTCTTAGTCGGTATTTCTCGTTTTCTAACACATGTTTATTTTACTGGGCCAGAGAGATGAGGCCGTGGGATTCCCCTACCCAAAACCATTTTGGTGAGGTATTCCAGGCCTGGGGAGGGGTGGTCCCAAGGAATACCATTCTGCAACTTCGATGCATCTAGGTCACATTTTCTGCCTTTAAAACAGCAGCATGGAGGATGTATGTCTGTTCTACAAGAAAATATCCATTTGTCTCTTGCAAAATTCTCTTTTCTGTGTTGGAAGCAGGGTGGATTTGATTTAAATCACCAGTAAAAAGGCTCGATTTAAATCAACTCAATTTAAATCATATTTTTAAAGAGCACTGTCATCTCTGTCCTGCAGCGACTTCTCCTGTGACCCACTGTTGACTCACTGAAAGTCTCATTCACTTTAATGGGATGGCTGGTGATTTGGCAGTGACACAACAAGTTGAGGAACGTGGCAGGTAGCAGGTGAGTGAATGCCCGCTAACAGGCCTGCCTGTTTAGAAGGATCTGAAATGACAGGGGTCTTTAAATGACAGGTGCTCTTTAAATCCTTGCTGGCAGTTAGAATCTTTAGTATTATTTGCAAAGAAAACGAAGGTTCCCTATTTAGAATAATAAACTGTCAGGTTAGTAAAACAGCGATACGAGAACCGATTTTAGGTTAATAATTTAATCACACATAGTTGGAGAACTACTCAAATTCATTTATTTAATTAAAACACTTAGCGCTTGGTACAGATGCATTTCTCTTCAATACCTCAATACCTGGGAAGATTCTGGAAAAGATAATCAAACAACGAATCAGCGAACAGCTAGAGGCAAACAAAATCACTACTAAAAGCCAACAAGGGTTTGTCAAAAACAGATCATGCCAGACAAACCTTATTGCATTCTTTGACTAAGTGACAAAATTAGTGGATCAGAGGAATGCTGTGGATATAATTTACTTGGACTTCAGTAAGGCATTTGATAAAGTAGATCACAACCTACTACTCGATGAGATAGAAAAAAGTGGGTTAGACAGCATCACCACCAGATGGATTCGTAGCTGGCTGACCGGCCGTACTCAGCGTGTGATCCTCAATGGAAGTGCATCTACATGGAGGGAAGTGTGTAGTGGGGTGCCCCAGGGCTCTGTTCTAGGCCCAGTGCTCTTCAACATCTTCAACTATTTGGACGAGAGGATAGATGGGGAACTCATCAAATTTGCGGATGACACCAAGCTGGCAGGAATAGCCAACACTCCAGAAGACAGGCTTAAGATACAGGAGGACCTGGACAGACTTGAACACTGGGCGCTATCTAACAAAATGAAATTCAATGGTGAAAAAAGTAAGGTTCTACATTTAGGCAAGAAAAACCAAATGTACATGTATAGTATAGGGGGTACCTTACTCAATAGTAGTAACTGTGAGAGGGATCTCGGAGTCCTAGTGGACAATCACTTCAATATGAGCCAGCAGTGTGCTGCAGCTGCCAAAAAAGCCAACTCAGTGCTGGGCTGCATTAACAGAGGGATAGAATCAAGATCACGTGAAGTATTAATACCACTTTATAATGCCTTGGTAAGGCCACACTTGGAATACTGCATCCAGTTTTGGTCACCACGATGTTAAAAAGATTCTGAGACTGTAGAAAGAAGAGCAACAAAGATGATTAGGGGACTGGAGGCTAAAACATATGAGGAACGGTTGCTGGAATTGGGTATGTCTAGTTTAACGAAGAGAAGGACGAGGGGGGACATGATAGTGTTCCAATATCTCAGGGGCTGCCACAAAGAAGAGGGAGTCAGGCTATTATCTAAAGCGCCTGAGGGCAGGACAAGAAGCAACAGATGGAAACTAATTAAGGAGCGAAGCAACCTAGAACTAAGGAGAAACTTCCTGACAGTTAGAACAATTAACCAGTGGAACAACCTGCCTCCAGAAGCGATGAATGCTCCAACACTGGAAGTTTTTAAGAAGAGATTGGACAACCATCTGTCTGAAATGGTGTAGGGTTTCCTGCCTGCCTGAGCAGGGGGTTGGACTCAATGACCTCCAAGGTCCCTTCCAACTTTATTATTATTATTATTATTATTATTATTATTATTATTATTATTATTATTATTATTATTATTATTATTATTATATCATACAGTTTGTAGTGTATAGAGATTTGCAAAACAATGGGATAAAGGAATATTCTTGAACTTTGTTTTATGATTGATCTCATGGTTACTGTGAAATTGTGTGAATGCATCAATGCAGTGCATGTTATCTCAGGTTATAGAACTTGGATACCAAAAATGTAAATATTGCAGAATATACAGCCTCATGCTACATAACTAAGCTCCATTTCATGCTGAATAAAAAAAATTATTAATGTATCTTAAATAGAAAACTATACTTAGATAGATTTTTACTCCAAAAGCATTTTATTAAAATAAATTTAATAAAAAAAATCCGATTTAAATAAAAAAAATCCATTTTTTTATTATTTTTTAAAAAATCATTGATCATTCTCCACCCTGATTGGAAGTAAGAAAGAAAACCTAAGAGAGAACTGTTTGATGGGAAAGATTTTCTTTTTCTTTCTAGGACAAAGATCCCTTTGAGGAGGTCGCTGTGGACTTCACAGAGGGGGAGTGGTCGCTGCTGGATTCTGCCCAGAAGGCCTTGTGCATGGAAGTCATGCTGGAGGTTTCTAGGGATGTGGCCGCTCTGGGTAAGGAGCTTCTTTACTCTGGGTTCAGTTTATTGGGAAAGGTTTTCAGTGGCAGATAAACAGGGAAGATACCTGCACTCAGATATTTAAAGAAGTCAGAACTGTACCTGGCCACCACCTGTAAAACCTCTCCTAATCTCAGGAAAATTGGGATCAGAATGTGTAGTATGTAGCTAATATCCAGTGGACAGCCACAGGTGCAAAGACTCCCATATACTTCCCCAGGCGGATACGGCTCATGTTAAAGAGTGTCGCTGATCGATTATCTGCATATACAATTAGTCCGGCGAAGTATTTACTCTTCACTGCACATATCGCCACGAGGTAGACCTTAATAGCAGATTTTACCTGTGTTCAATCAAGTTCATCCTTGTCTTTCACCAGCGGCGCTGTAGACATCTCTTCATCTGTTTCATCCCTCTCAGTTCCTCTTTATACCATGGAAGACAGAGAGGTCTATGAGTGAGCAGAGGTTGCCTCAGTCACCTTCCTATTCCAAACAGTGATTAAGAGCTCGACTGCACGTTGCAGTAGATCAGCAGTTATAACCCCCAGTTCTTTCTGCAACAAATTTGGGTCCATTAGTCGCCGCTGGCAGACCAGTTCAATAGGTCCTGCCTCCATGCAGGGGAGGGGGGGGGTACAGCTCTTGAGAAACTCATTGACACAAGATTGTGACCTGACCAAAGATAAGGCCACCAATGTGTAGTATGTAACTAATATCCAGCAGACAGCCACAGGTGCAAAGAGTTCCATACACTACGCTTTGATTCTCTTTAATAGCCAGGCTCCCCTGGATCACAAACCAGCTGAGCTACGTCATGGGCAATTTTGTCTAAAGTTGTCATTACAGCAACTCTTCTAGAAAACAACTAAGGCCTTGGCAGAAATGCTCACCATAGTTTTGTGAAAGGCCTTAGATCAGGAGTGTCAAACTGCCAGCCCATGGACCGAACGCGTTATCCGGCAGCCACGCCCACCCCATTGCCGGCAATGGCAAAACTGTCCCGATACGTCTCACGATGTAACGTGATGTCGTGAGTTTGACATGTCTGCCTTAGATACTCCACAGAAATGCCTGAGCAGATTGACCTATCAGCAGCAAAGCCTTAATCTGGTTCAGGGCTGAAAAATCTTGTGGATACCATTAAAGTATCCTAGGACCTAGATAACAATTTCAACCCAACATCTCCTAGTTTTAACACATGGCTGATACCCAACCTGATACTCAGATGGGCATATTTTTGACAGGGAGAGACAACCCTCCTCCATTCCTAATCATTTTGAATTCTAATGAGAATTTCTTTTTTTTTTCCAAACTAGGTGATGGTGATGGGCTGGAGAATGAGAATGACAAGCAGCTGATGTCATTGACATTACAAAGTGCAATGTCTGCAAAGAACCATTCCATATCTTTTACTTCATCTAAAATACTACATAGGAAATTCACTGAGAGCACTGATATTACTTCCCTTCAAAGGATTCACAAAGGGGACAAACCATATAAATGCCTGGAGTGTGGAGAAAGCTTTCATGGAAACATAGATCTTATTTGTCATGAAAGGATCCACACTGGGGAGAGACCATATAAATGTATACAATGTGGAAATGCGTTTACTCAGAAAAGTGGTCTTATTAGTCATGAAAGAATCCATACAGGAGAGAAACCATTTCAATGTACAGAATGTGGAAAGAGCTTCACTCAGAAAAGACAACTTAATGTTCATGTTAGAATCCACACAGGGCAGAGATCGTATAAATATTTGGAGTGTGGAAAAAGCTTTGATGGAAACAAAGATCTTATTTGTCACGAAAGGATCCACACTGGGGAGAGACCATATAAATGTATACCATGTGGAAATGCGTTTACTAAGAAAAGTGGTCTTATTAGTCATGAAAGAATCCATACAGGAGAAAAACCATTTCCATGTACAGAATGTGGAAAGAGCTTCGCTCAGAAAGGACAACTTAAATTTCATCAGACAATCCATACAGGAGAGAAACCATTTCAATGTACAGAATGTGGAAAGAGTTTTGCTCACAAAAGCCAACTTAAAATTCATCAGACAATCCATTCAGGGGAGAAACCATTTCAATGTACAGAATGTGGAAAGAGCTTTGCTCGGAAATGCCGACTTAAATTTCATCAGACAATCCATTCAGGGGAAAAACAATTTCAATGTACAGAATGTGGAAAGAGCTTTGCTCAGAAAAGCCAGCTTAAAATTCATCAGACAATCCATTCAGGGGAGAAACCATTTCAATGTACAGAATGTGGAAAGAGCTTTGCTCAGAAAAGACAACTTAAAGTTCATGTTACAATCCACACAGGACAGATATTGTATAAATGCTTGGAGTGTGGAAAAAGCTTTCATTGGAACAGCGATCTTATTTGTCACCAAAGGATCCACACTGGGGAGAGACCATACAAGTGCATGGAGTGTGGAAAGCAATTTACTCAGAAACGTTTTCTTAATCAACATGAAAAAATCCATACAAGGGAAAATAAATGCACAGAATGTGGAAAGTGCTTCGCTCAGAAAAGTCAACTTATTTTTCATGAGCGAATACACACAGGGCAGAGATCGTATAAATGCTTGGAGTGTGTAAAAAGTTTTTATTCAAGCAGAGAACTTATTCATCACCAAAGGATCCACACTGGAGAGAGACCATATAAATGCCTGGAGTGTGGAAAGAGCTTTATAGACAAATGGCACCTTGTTTCCCACCAAAAGAGGCACACGCAGGATAGACCGTATAAATGCATGGAGTGTGGAAAAAGCTTTCATTGGAACAGCGATCTTATTTGTCACGAAAGGATCCACACTGGGGAGAGACCATACAAGTGCATGGAGTGTGGAAAGCAATTTACTCGGAAAATTTATCTTATTAATCATGAAAGAATCCATACAGGGGAGACACCCTATAAATGCACAGAATGTGGAAAAAGCTTTGCTCAAACAGCACAACTTAATGCTCATAAAAGAATCCACAGAGAATAGAGACCGTATAAATTCTTTAACAATCACATTTACTCATGAAAGAATCCACACTCGGGAAAAGCCATATATTGCAAGGAGTGTGGATATAATTTTTACTGGGAAAGAACATTTTGCTCATCATTAAAGGATCCACCTAGGGAAGAAACCTAAATGGACAAAGGGGAAAGGCCTCCAGGAGAAATTCTTCTGACTCACCATTAAAGGATCCACACAGGAGAAATCATGTAAATGCAAAGAGTGTGGAAAAGCTAAAGTTGGGAAGGACACCATAATTCCCATAAAACGATGCCCACAGAAGGAACTATATAAATCCATGGAAGTAGCTTCAGAATAATCTTCGTCCCAAATATTTGAATTCATTCAGAGCAGCCAGGATTTCTGTTGCCTATTTTGACTTGCATTTCTCTCCCCCCCCCGCCAATGCTGTGGAAACAGGAATGCAAAAAGGGAATTACGCTCTTCACGTTTCCTGCTTTTTGCCCATCACCACTTCACTATCATTTCCAACCAGCGGACTGATGGCTTCCTTGATTTCTCTCATAATTTACCTTTAAAACTCTATAAAACAGGATTGACATGCATTTATCAAATTTAGAAAGCATTTTGATCTGCAGTTATGTTAATTCCCACAAAACGGTGGTCTTGTACTTTTCTGTCCTCTTAAGATTTATCTGAACAAGTCGTCTCCTTTCCATTTGTTATCTTCTGACCAGAAGGAAGAGTGAGAGCAGCCCCAGAAAGACAACCTCTTTTTGAGCAGTTGCCAAGGCAATTGTTCCTCACTACTTCAGCTTCCGAATACATTTTGGAGAAGAAACTCTATACTCTTACAGTCTTGGAACCTTACTAATAAACTCTTATGTAATTTTACAGTCCGCTATTGTGTATTATTTTTTCACTATCTCA